CAATTAAATCGGGTAGAGAATTCCCGGCCCATTCAACAGGTTATGGGCCTGGCCTAGTGGAGTCATCACTCATCACCACTAACTCTAACTTCAACTTGCAGTTGTAGTACAACACAACAGACACAAGACATTACATGGGATGATGGATGCGTCTTGAAGCTGTTTTTGCAATAATAAAAGTGGAGTTGTTTTTGCAATAAAAGTGGAGCTGTTTTTGCAATAAAAGTGGAGTTGTTTTTGCCTTCTCATCCACACATATTCAGGCTTTCTGTTCTGGAGTTGTTTTTGCAATAAAAGTGGAGCTGCGTCTTGAAGCTGTGGTTCCTTTTATTTCATACCCCTTTATTTGTTAGCCCAACTACGCATCCTTTTTTCTCTCTCTCTCTCTCTCTCTCTCTCTGTCTCATGTGATGTATCCCATCATCTCGGATCCATCATTCCGTCCACGGTCCACCCAATCAGCAACCAAAGCTGATTCCTACCCTATGAATACTGCTCACTTTCCCCCTGAAACTTAAGAAGGCAAGCAAGGGGGAGGGTGAGTCATGGATCCACAAATGGAAGGGGTCCACTTAGGGAACATCCTTGACCAAAAATCTGGGCTGAAATTATGATCAGAACGGCCATCCATCATCAATGGTCAGTATTCTCTCCCACGTTTGACAATATCCCTGAAGCAGGGGGCACATTTACCCAGACAGAAAGGGTTGATATCCCACAGTTGTAAGGAACGGCCTGATCTGGCTTGTTCAGGCTGTCTGGTCACTACTGGATGGTGATACAGATTACAGAAATACAGCAAGAGGGAATTATGGTGTGATTTTGTTTGTTGGAGGAATAGGAAGCTCTCCTTTTATAATCTCCTACCTATTACTTTTTTCTTTTTTTAGAAGCGTGAAAATGAAATGAAGTTAAATGTGCCTAACTTTGACAAATGGAACCTTTTTCCTCGCAACCTCCAAATTCCAAAACTAGCCTTTTTCTTCGTGAAAATGAAATGAAGCAGGAGGAATTTTAAATCCTCGGAGTTCATCGTGCTGACTGCGCCACCATTCACCAGAATATGGACGACCCAAACCCACCACTACCCCACTTCCTATCTGTCTATTTCACCATTTTTCAAAACTACAAAGAAAATCTCCAATTAAGATTAATACAAACATGCATGCAAGACGAAGATACCTAATATAGACTACGTACGTACATAAATCTAATGCATGATGCACTAAACGGAACTCCTCCCTCCCATTATATTATGGGCCCATTTGGTTGACTGCGTTTGGTAGAGCTAGATTTGAAGATTCAATTAAGCTAATTAATGCAGCTGCTTTGGAAGCTTCCGATTCACTATTCAATCAGGCTGGAGATGAACGTAACAGAACAGTCAGTCCCTCAGTGAGTGACTGCGTTTGGTAGGGCTGAATTGAAGATTCAGTTAAGTTAGTTCAGCTGCTTTGAACTCCATCAATGAGGCCAAAGGTAGACAGTGACAGTCACTGACTGGCAGCTCATTTGGTCTCCTCCCTACTCGGGCTACTCCCTAGCTATTTTTCACCGATAATTTAATTAACTGTCCCTTTGGGCCTCTGTATCTCAGAAAGCAAGCAAGAAGAAGCATACTTCTCTTCTATAATTTATAAATACCCACATTTGCTTGGCTTCACGCCCAAGGGACCATGAAAAGAATTTTATTAATTTTCTATTGCACTTACATTTACCCGTGTCAAATGCAGAGAGCAGTGCCCGCTATTCCAATCCAAATCTAAGCCTGGGTTGGGATTCCTGGAGACCGGCTTCAGTAAGGGCGAATTCATGCCTTTTCCAACCTTGTATTGGAAATATCTTTCCATGAAATAAAACATATAAATATTCTCAATGCAAGCCAGTAAAGCCAATAGAGTTTACCCTGACTGAAGCCCAACTCCTATCCCACCACTTTTTCGACACATGATAGGTCCTAATCTAATCTAAGGAGATCTGAACTCTCGAGACGTATGCGTGATTGGGTGTGTCCTGCTTGGCTGATTCTTTTGATCGAGTAGAGGTTCCAATGATTAAGAGCATGAAGAGAAGAACTCTCGAGACGTAGCTTGATTTGCTTTCCGAAATTAATGGTGAGAATAATAAACACTTAATCCAGCTTCCCTGTTAGCATCAAGCAATCTTCAACAATGGTCTTCAATCTCCACAAACTTCAACTTGCTTTCTCAGACAAGAGATCACCAAGAGTTTGTTACCTTGGCCTTAGATACTAATAGGATGATTTCTGAAAATTTGAGCAACTTTATGGGCTTTCCATGCAGACCAAACTTCGATACCAATAGGATCAAAAGCATCAAATAAAGATACGACTCTTCTTAGTTCTTAGACATGAATTCTTGGTCCTGAACTAACTTATTTAACAAGTGTTCTGAGATATTGATGGGTGTAAATTAATTCAAATTACACCACTGTGATACAACACCGTGCTTTATCCAACTCAACATTCCAAGTGAAACAAATAACACACACTCTAATGAACATCAACTTATGAAGAAAAAGAAAATACAAGAAAAAATGTATTAACCATAACATAAACATGCATGCTTCATCTAACAAAGCTTTATACTAATATGTAGAGCATATGCTTTTGGCAAAACAGTCATAGTTGGCGACTCAATGGAGATAGGCATGGATGTATCATTGGGGAGACCTTACAGGTTAGGTTAGGGGGATAGACATGGATGTATCATTGGGGGCCAACCATGGGAGCAGGAGCAAATAAACATAAATAGGGCCAACCCTTCCATGCCTCTCCCAGGTCCACCCAAACTCCACCCATGTGTCATGGCCAACACCGTTGTATGATGATGGCAAGTGGAGGGTTGCAAATTTATACTTTGTAGGACCATGTCTCATTTGCCTCTCGCCGGAATGCTCATAAATTCATTTCGGCTGCGTTTGTCTTCGGTGTAAATAAGAACTGGGGTAAACTTTATAAATTCATTTTGGCTGTATTTGTTTTTGGTGTAAATAAGAATTGGGGTAAACTTTAAACCTTGACTCGATTTTTTTTTTTTCTTTCTTTATAATTGATTTCAATGTAAGTTTTACATAAAAAAAAGAATCTATGTAAACACTCACAATGGAATTTTACATCAAATAATCGATGTAATTTTTTACACACATTGACTATACTTTCTCATTTTAACGATTCGCTTTATTTAAATCGATCGATTCAGTTTTCAATCGATGCATAAAAGAACTATACACTAAAAACAAAGGCAGCTTTCAGGTTTGAAATTAACTGGCCAAACACGAACACGCTCGGTCCTATTCTATTCTCCCAGAGAAGGAAGGAAAATTTGAGCAAATGAATAATTGGGGTTGGGGATCCATCGTCCATCATACATCATCTATATCCATGGCGGGTTGGTTGATATCCATTAGAAAGAAAACAAAAGAAAGAAAGCCAAATCTCAAGCATAAGTTAAAAACAGGAAAGGGGATTGATCATGGCAGGTGCAGTCGTGCAGACAAGAATTGTGACAGCTGGCTTTGGCTAAATGATAATGAGAATGGACAGAGTTCGAATGCAACATATATTTAACATTATTATTTATATAAATGAGAATAGAGTGGGTGAAATTAAATGGAGAGTCATGGGCCTTGGCAACTGTCACCAGTCACCATATGTTGTTTATCTGAAAGGATGGCCCACAGCCCACTCAGGATCCAGTCTGTTCAACAATTAATGGGCTATCTATGTGGATCGAGTATGCATGAGGATGATGAGGATGGCACTATGGGTCATCCTCCCTCCTCCGGTCCCCGCTAAGGCCCTAGCACTGTGACACACATCAACATGCATGCATATATACATCAGAAACTTTTGTGACTTCACTTTCACTACAAAATCCAAATGTCCATTTTGGCCACCTCCCCAGTCCCCACCGCGATCGAGCAGAGAGCAAGCTAATTGGTCACAATGGTCATACTTATTATATGCTGGGCTTGATAGAAAATCAGAGAGAAAAAGATGCTGCTTCACATGTCGTATTTCAAGTTTCATCGTACTGAGACAACTCTACTGTTTGACTGTTGTAGCTCCATTGCGATTTGGGAACTCGGTAACTCACTCTCAGTACTCAGTTGGAAGTTAATTTCAGCCTTTCAGGTTTCTACTATTGTCTTCCAAATTTAGGATTGTCTCATAGCTTGAGACTCCTCTGGTCTATCTATATGATTTCACAGAAATCTCAGCTAGGGGAGAATAAATTTATCCCATTATTCCCCAACTTGTAACAGTAGAAAAGAAAACAAGAAGCAGGTGAAAATAAAATTCACATCCTTGTTATATATCAGGACCGGCATAAGGATCCAGAAAGAACATAAGTTTGGTAAACTAACAAGTTCATAAAACAGGGCTGGTTCTGTGGCTCATGCATCTGTTGATGATATTATTTATCAACAGCTTTTATTTTATACGGTGACATTTAGAAGCACTAATTTTTGTTTTTGATTAGCCACAATCCAAAACCAATCAAACAGCAGAAAGAAAAAAAGAAAAAGGATTGTTATAAGTTATAACCGTTAAATTTAATGCAAAATGCAACCGTTCATTACTCACCCAGAACAGACCAATTCATCAATCGATGAGTTGTCCCTGAGAGAGGGAGAGAAGGCATATATTGAGCTAAACTAAAATAACAATGAAACCGAATTACACAAGGCAATTGGGATCAATTCCAATTACCAATGTTCGACCACTACTGAGCACTGACTCAGTGACTCTGTATCTCTCCTTCCCTCCCCCAAATGGTTTTTGCTTTATTGCCTTCTGTAGTTCGGTTTACTGATATACAACTGAAAAGCGTACTTTGGACTTGCTGTATTCAGCACCAGAATTAGTACGGACAAGAGATCTTTCTCCTTAAATTTCTTCTCGGGGGAAGGGGGTTTGTGGGTTGTTACTGTGTTACTTCATTTGTCAATCATGGCTCGACAGATACACAGAAAGAAATAAATGAATAAAAACAGAGAAACTGCTCCAAACTCCTAAGTGATATTTACAAAGATCCATTCCAAATCCAAAATAAGTGAAGAGGAAATGAAACAAACCAAGATGGACGAAAGTACATACTACACAAGGAAAGATAAAGATCTAGTCTTTGAGAGGGGGTTGGGGGGAGAAGTAAGAAGTAGAAGAAGAAAGGAATGAAATTTGAAGCTACAGGGGAATCAAGATGTCGTCAAAACGGGGAAGGTTGGTCAGTTTTTCTTTTCTGGGAATAGATTTTTTTTCCCTTTTACCAAAAAGGTGTAGACCTCTCGCATGATGGTGAGCTGATTTGGGGGACTGTAAGACTGTCATCTCTCCATCGTTTGTTACTAGTCTTGAAATTGCTTGCCTCCTTTAGCTCCTTAAATCCACTTAGGAAACTGATTTGGTTGGGAAGGCAGTTTACAGGATACGAGGCTTGTGGTACTTGGGGTACCCAGATCGTTGTATCTTGAGGAGAAAAGCTCAAATTGCTTTGAAAATCCATATCTAGAAATGGAGACAGAGCATCACCCTGAAATAAAGGAAAAAAAAAACCATAAATAAATTTCATTATTATTATTTTTTAAATCATCACAAGCTCGTCTGATGGGTGTGTCTGAGAATAAGAGAAGACGAAGTGCTGAGGGAGGTGAACTTCAAGGGGAAAATAATAAAAATAAAAAATGGGCATAACGCCAAACCTTACAGAAACCATGGGGAGCAGAATAGGAGTCGAGAAAGTCCTCGACTTGCCAGCCTGGTAACGTCTCCATCAGATACTCCGTTATGCTACTGGTCGAATATCCTTCGCTTGCCGGATGATCATCAGCTTTAGATGTCGTAATAGTGGCTGCTGCTGGTGGTTTCTCGACCATCGGTGGTTTTGGATGAACAATCTCTCCGAAAGGAACAGGCATGGGTTTTTGCTTTTTGGACAACTTGGAGATTTTGTTCTCGTTGACTTTACCATTCAGGGAATCACAGGCTTCATTGGTGGATGAGTTGGTGGCGGAGTACAAGGAAGAGGAGGATGAAAGCTTTACGCCGGTGAGGAGAAACCTGTTATGTTTCTTGGTGTGGTCGTTGGCCGTGTGAATAGGATGGTCGCACTCTCTGCAGAGAATCGCCCTGTCCTCCTGACAGAACAGAAAGGCACGTCTCTCCTACAACAACGCGAAATAGAAATTAAAGAAAGGAAAACAAAATTAAATCAACGTAAAAACTCTGAACAATTAATACCAGAGAGAAAGAGAGATCTGAAATTCTACCTGGCAGACGTCGCAACGAGGAGCCTCTTTGAAGGAAGGGTGGAGGAGGGAGAAGCGCAGGTGTTTGCCGGCGAGCTTGTTTGCGTGATGGACACGGCGATCACATCCATCGCAGAGGGCAGCCTCGTCGGCGGAGCAGAAGACAGAGGCCTCGTCTTTATCACAAACATCACACTGGATCTTCATTGTTTAATTGCTATATGGGTTTGCCTCTTCTGAGATTTATATTTGACAGGAACGAGAGAAATTAGCAATAGAAGATAGATAGTACAACGATGGAGAAGAGAAGAGAAGAGCGAGGACTTTTAGAAGCTAAAACCACAGAACCAATTAAGAGAGTAGATTGAAAATTGGTGTATGGACTTATAAGAGGTTGGAGGTGACATTTTGGTTTATTTAATGAATAAAATATGAATGAAGTCAACAACTTGAAGAAAACCCACCAGAGAGAGAGAGAGAGGTTCAGATCATTTTTATGTTTGAGTTTGATAAATTGTATCTGCAAAATCGAGTGCTGGATGGATAGAGATAAGCAGATAGGCGTGCATATAAGCTGGACATCCCCGCCTGGGATTGGTTCTAACCTCTGAGTTCTGACTGAACCGAGTCTGACAATAGGTTCAGGTAACTAGGGTACGGGTATGGGTATCCATCTGATTATAAAACCATCTCAATTCTCAAAACCACTGTTACAGGTTTAACATATAATCCAACTTCACCGCCACTTTGTGGTATTAAAATATTGGAAAGCATGAAATGAAGCAAAAATAAAAATATGCAAATTGCGATGGAAAAGCCGAAAGGGTTTTCCGGCTTCTGGCTGGTTCGGGTTTCAAAGTTGTTGTTAAATGGGTTTAGATTTGGATTTTGGACGGGGGAAAAAGAGAAATGGAGTGGATGTGAAGAATCTTAGGGTTGGATTTCACTTGGGTTAGGTGGCGCACTGTACTGACTACGTAGTGCGTACAGCAGTGGAACCGCGGGGGAATTCCTGGGTTCTTTCTCTATGTCGATTGTGGAGTAAAGACACCAAGACAGGGAGCCAACATGGCTCTGTCCTCTATTTCCATTTCCCACTGTTTTATTTCTCTCTCTCTCTATATATATATATGCAAATGCAAATGGGTGGAGAATGGAAACTTTTAACAACGCATAAACGGGTCGGAACGTATTTGAATTTTGGAAAATAGTGTGCACATGGAAATTGGGAGAAAAAGACATGATGAAGGTGTGAACTCCTTTAATAATGGAGCTGTGTCATTTTGTGGGCGATCAAACCCGGTTTCTCTCTCTCTCTCTAACAAAAACAATAGGCTGAAAATTTCTTCTCTACTTGTATAAACGTGGCGAATTTATAGAATACGCTGTAGGCCAAACACCTTGATACTATTTCAAAAAAAAAAAACAACAAAAACAACACTTTGGTACGCAATTAAATGGGTCTGCCCTGAGATTCCAAAAACCCACAGTCGAGTGGGCCCTGCCCCTGCCCAACAGCTTCCGAATACACCCACAAGGCCATAACCACGATATCATATGAAAACTGTCACCTTATTAACAAAATTTTTTTGGTTCATTGGTGGGGCTATACAACGGGGTAATCCGTCCCATAGGCTGTGTTTGGAAGAGGTGTAAATCATCGGTGTATGTTTTACACTAAACTTGAAATATAATGACTGTTGTATTTTGAAATCGATGTAAAAAGTGGTTTAAGTTTTATATTCATAAAATTACTGTAGTTTTTACATTTATCGATATAAAACTTTAAATGTGATGAGGTTTTACATCTATCATTGCCATAAAACTATACTCCATCCAAATACATGCAAAATTGAATCGGAATATAGTTTTGCATCGATAATGATTACATTTGTTTATCAAATGCGTACAAAAGTGAAACGATGTAAATTTTACATCAGTTCTTGATTTACATCGCATCCAAATACAATCATAGGGGATGTCAATGATCGGGTTACATTGTAAGCCCGGATTGACCCGACCATTCGAGTTAAGGTAATGGTGAATAAGGTGTAAGGTTGTGGGTTAGGATTTGATTTATTTTCATTTTTCTTTGTTATAATTGAAGTAATACCTTAGAACCATAAACCAAATTCCAACTTGAATGAATTACGTACCTTTAGATTTCCAAAATCTGCTATAAAAAATACGATTGAGAAGCTGTGCGTCAGGCCGGATACTCGGGTCTAATGACAAGTTGAACCCTATAGGGTTGAGGTCGGTTTAGACATTGCAGCCTTGCAGGTTGCTGGGTCGGGTTGAGTCAAGTTTGGGTGAAACATTGAAGGGTTGGGTTAGACTGGGTCCTACTTCCATAGTAATTAAGAATATGTGTTGTACTTGTAAATTTTCATATTAATTACATAAACTTTAGATACACTACAATTAAGATGGATATTGAAAATTAACAAAAGTAACAATATAATTAAAACTAAACATAAATGCTTGTTGTAAATGTGCACGTGTATTGCACATGGAAGTTTTAAATTATAATAACACTTATTATTATTATTATTATTAATTTTTTATATTTCGTTTCTATCATAAATAAAAATAATTTTTTTTTAACAATTATGTTTATTTAATATGATGAATATAGAACATTACAAATGTTTCCAAATGCTTTCAACAAAATTATGCACTTTTTCATTTTTTGTGTTCTATCTTTTTATAAATATTTATTATTCAATTATGACATCATGAGTTTCTTTGAAAAGTTGGACCATTGACCACCCACCATCTAAATAAGAAAATATAGTTGCCTTTGGATTACTTTTTAGTTGTATATTTCATCTATATTATATAAATAATTTCTACTTATCATACTTAATTTTTATTTGACATAATTAATAATAATTTTATTATATATTCTTTTGGTTACTTATACTTTTTTTATTTTTTAAAGATTTACTATTTAGTTATCATATCATCTATTAATCCATTTGACCCAAACCATTAACTCACCACCCAAAACAAAAAATAGTTTGACTTTTATATTGACATTAAATTTTGTATTACGTTTCCATCATTGATAAAATTGTTTCTATATATAATACTTATTTTTATTCAATATAATGAATGCATAATATTAGATATACCCAACATTTTATTTTTTATAAATATATAACATTAGATATGTGCCCAAATGTTTCTCTATTTTTTATTTTTGTGATTATTTGTATTTTTTACTTTTAAAAATTTTATTATTTGACTATGACATCATTTCATTTCTAGGTTGATTTTAAATTTGGCATTCAATTTTCGATATTATTTATTAACCTTTATTCAATTTTATTATTTGACTATGTACCCAAATGTTTTCCATTTCTAGGTTCATTTCATTTCTTATATTTCATACTTATTTTTGTTTAGTATAATGAATATACAATGTTAGAGATATTCCCAATTTTTTTTATTTTTTGTTTTGTATATTTAATTTATTCTAATTTATTTTATTATTTAATTATGACATTATTTATTAACCCATTTGACCCCATATGGTAGAATTTCTTACCCATCACCAGAAGGGAAGAAAATGGTTTTGCATTTTAAATTCATATTTTAAAATATTTATTTTTATACTAGTAGAATTAATGTTATGGATTTAATTAGTAGAATTTAATAATGAAAAAAATATATCTTAAATATAGGATTTAATGAAAGAATATACCTTAGATATGAGATTTAATGAGTGAAAAAGGAAAATAGATTTATTTCCAATTAGTTTTAAATTTTACATTCCATTTCCATCATTAATAAAATCATTTCTTATTTATCATACTTATTCTTGTTTAATATGCCGAATAATATGATGTTAAAAATGTTCCCATTTTTTTTAATTTTTTTTTTCATTTTATCTATTTTTTCATTTTATTATTTAATTGTGACAACATGGGTTGTCCCATTTTACCCAAAATGATTTAATTTCTTACCACCACCTAGATGAAAACACTTTTTTCAAGGTGAATGCAAGTTAATACCTTAAATGTTGGATTTAATAAGAGGGAATTGAATGCAATGAATATCTTAAAATTACCTCTTTTCAAGTCATTTAATATCAACAACTAATTACTCTATTTGCCTCTTTTTTTATCAATAAATTCAAATATGGAGGGATAAATTTTGTCCTCAAAAAATTTCAAAAATATTATTGAGGTTATTCGTACATTTTAATGTGGCATAGATAGATACGTATGCGTGCAATGCATCGACGAATACATGGATGTATGTAATTATAGACAATTTTAAGTTTAAAGGACAATAAAAGTTTAAAGACAAGAGCATTCTAGTGTGATAATTAAATATGGTAATCTAAAGCCAAAGAAATAAGAATATTTTAACATGATGAAGTGAAGAAATAGACCAACCTGAATGCAACCCAGGTCAACAATTAGGAATGGCAATGAAGTGGGGCAGGGTTTTGTATTCCCTGTCCCTGACCCAAAACTCAAATGCCCTGCCTGCCTTGTACCACCCCAATGGGACTAAAACTCCCAACCCCATCACCACCTCCACAGGGAACAGGGATCCCCAATTTGTTCCACCGCGCTCTAGTCATTCCTACATGTAAATCCTTTTTGTTATTTTTTTAAACCACTTAGAACTATATTATTTATATAATGTAATATAATATAATGCCTATTAAAAGTTATATATATAAAGACACACACATACACTCATACACACTTTAGGTACGAAGGGGATGTCCCCACCCTATCCCCAAATCATCATTGTTTTTGGGCTTCCCTCAAAACCACCCCAAACCAAATCAATGGTCAGAAAAATCTACCCTAATAAGAATGGATCAAATTGTCATCTGCATCTACAAACTTGGATTAGCATTAAAGATCTCAAACCGACCTAATTAATTTGGCCCAACTTGCACGTAACGACGTGTTCATGTTGGAGATGGGATCTAATAGCAAACAAATCACAACATGCTTCCAACATGTTGTGTCCCTACAACTTACTAGATCATGTTGGGATGTCTTGGAATGGATTTTTGATGGGAGCAACCAAGTAAGCTAAGTCTTCAAGCCTTGCTGATTGAAAAGTATTGGGATCTACTACCAACAAAACACTCCCGGGGTCCGTTTGGTTCACAGGAATAGGGATCCAGAATTGGAATCGAAATGTCATTCCGATTCCAGGAGTTTGATTGGGCAGAATTAGAATCTGATTCTCATTCAGGTCAGAATGGAAATCTCCCATTTGAGAGAATAGCCATTCCCAACCCACTCCCCAGGAATCAGAATCCCATTCCCACTCTTAAATATAAGAAAAAATGAAATGACAAAAAAGACCTTAAGCCTTTCTCACTACCCGTCTCTAGCTTTCTAACCCCTTCTCCCCCATCTCTCGTTGCTCCCTCTTTCGGCAGCTGAAGTTTAAACAACCAGTATGAACTGAACTCAGGTGGTGTTTCTCCAAAAGTCTTGAAGTAGAAGTACATGAATGAAAAACCAGAGAAGATTATCTTTCGTAGAAGTTGATTGTTGCCGTGTTTTTCTTCGGTTGCATTCCCTTTGACAAGTTAGATTCATAAGCAAT